GGACGGGGCGCGCTACGTCACGCCGGGCGTTTCAACTTTTACGGATCTCGCCCCGTGACGGGGTGTGCGCGTTAAGAGGAGGGTTGTATGGATTTTTGCGCGCCCCCTTCTCTCGCGTGTGCACGATCAAATTTTATCGCCTTCGACGCCATCACGCTTATAATATTTAACGTTGCAATCTTACTTTCGTTTCGTTTCGTTTCGTTGTCGCATAATTATCATTCTCTTTTTCTTTTTTTTCTTTTTTTGCAGGTGTGATCGATCGATCGATCGAGTAATTTCGGTAATTGTTTTCTCTCTTTTCAGGAATTGATTTAAAGTTTTACGTATTATATATAATATTATTATATTTGAAGTAGGAGGAATCGATTGGAAGTTAAATTATTATTTTTAAAATTTAAATTTTCAGTTTCAGGTCGAGCCAATTTTTCAAATTTTTTGGGGATCTGATTTCGAGCATCGAGTCTTATAATTTATTTCTTTGAAAGAAAAAAAAAAAAAAAGAAATAATCTTTTCCTCTCTCTCTTTCTCTCCCGTCTTTCAAAATCCGCCCGAAAAACCATCATCCTCTTCTCGAAACTCGTTATTACGTAACCCCAAGAACGTCAAAGCAAATTGGCTGTGACGTTGGTGTCGAAACATATTCCGAAAAAATTCTGACGTGGGTGATATTACCTTGGTGTTTTTCGAAAAAATTAGAGAAAAATATTCCGTTGAAAAAAAGTGTTTCTCTCTCTCTCTCTCTCCATCTTTTTTCGTTCTCGAGGGAGGGGAAAAAAAATAATTCGAACGTCTTTAAATTTCTAGAAAAAAAAAAAAAAAAAAAAAAGAAAGAATATCAAGAAGACAAGATAATTCGATATATTTTGGATGTAAAGATACGTTTCGAAAATTACATTACGAAAATATTCGCCCGTTTCAAATTTCGTTTCGCTCGCTAAAAGCTGGCAGCTACTACTCTCTGCCAGGTTGCCGCACCGATGAAAATTTCTTTCCAACTTTATAATAAAAGCCACTTCCACACTCTTTGTCAAATTGTTCTGAAAAAGATCTCCAGGATCGATTTTAAAATTGCCTTTTTTTTCGAAAAGCATCCAAGATAGATGATCCTTTTCCTTTTTCTTTTTTTTTTTTTCTTTTAAACCCGATCAAAATTCCGCCTAAACATCCGAAAATTCATCAAATTTCCCTAAAACATCGAACATCTACCCTCCTTTCATTATTAGTAAGATGTTCCAGAGTAAGCTTTCCCACGTGACCAACTTTAGAATTCCAGGTACGTTCATACCCATGAGCCCGGCAAAGAAAGAAGAATAGTGGGAGACTCGACAGAAGGACTGACTCCACCCTCAAAACTCATTAAAAGTGTCGCTTTTACCCCAAACCGTCGAACGCCTTTATTTCAGGTGAGGCAAACGTACTTCCAACCTTCTCCTCCAAAAACCTCTCCTCAACATCTCCTCTTTCCCTCCCAAGAATTTTAAAAAAAAAACCCCCTAAAATAAAACCTGATCATCATCACTATTCTATCCTTGATCGAATCTCTTAATAAACGAAGAAATAAACACCTTTGCACAAAGATCAAAAAAAAAAAAGAACGAAACGTATCAATCTTATTAATATTCCAAACTTTCCTATTATTATTATTATTATTCCTTGAATCTCTTGAGAAAGAGAAGTATCACCTATACAAAGATTAAAGAAAAAAAATTCAGTCCCTGAAAAGTTTCAGGCGCAAGAGAGAAGAAGGTGGAGGAGAGGGGAGCGGGGGAAGGAGCTTCGGATCTCGAGTGTGGGGCGATTGGACGCGGGCCAGGGCGTAAGTGTACACGCGGCCGTGATTGCGCGAGGAGAATGTAATTAGTGACGGGACGTTGGCGGCGATCCCTACCCGCGGCTTGCTGGCCTGCGCGATATCCGGGACAAACTCGGCGGGAATCCGTGGAGCCCGGGACTGTGTGGCTGTTTGCGGAACGTTTCCGTGCGATTATGCGCGCGGCTAGGCCCGCGCGAGTAAGCTGTTGAAGCGAGCCGCCGCCAAGGTGAGAGCCGCCTCTCTCTCTCTCTGTCTCTCTGTCTCTGTGTCTCTCTGTCTCTCTCTGGCCCCGGAATGGGATATCTCTTGTTCTCACGTACGAAGTTGAAAAGCCGCGCTTTTATCTTTAATTATTGTTTCGTAACGTAGTCGGAGGTGGTATGATCGTTTGGGGATGGAAATGGACGATGTTGAGGATTGGGTTGGTGGGTTTGTTTTTTTTTTTTAATTTGTTTATATAAGTATGGATTTTAGTTTCGACCATCGAAATCTCGTGGAATAATCGTTCAGGGATTATTTTTAGGGGAAGTGGTCGAGGATTGGAATTATGACGGTTGTTGGGAATATCGTGTCTGAGATTTTGTGGAATCGTTTAGGGATATATTTAGGGATATATATATATAGTGGAATTTTTAATTTTGTTGGCTAGTTTTTAATTAGTAATTTGGAATGTATCGTATTGAGATTTTGGAATCTCAATATTAGGGGATAAGTAAGGTGGAAATTGGGGATTTTGATAGTTAGTTTTTAATGTAATTTGTTAATAATGTGTTAGGGATGGTTTTAGATAGGTTTTAATATTTTGAAATTTTGTGGAATCGTTAGGGGATAAGTATAAAATAAAGATTGGAATTGTTGTAATGCAATTTGTTAGCAATGGTGTGTTTCAGAGTTGGATAGGTTTCAATATCTATCGAAATTTATTATGGAATTATTAATAATATATTTTAGAATTGGATAGATTTTAATATAATTTAGAATATCTAAAGTGAAGATTGGAATTTTGTTGGTTAGTTTTTAGTATAATTTAGAATATATCGTCAGGGGATATAAAATAAAAATTAGAACGATTGTTGTAATGTAATTTGTTGGTAATAATTTGTTTCACAATTAGATTTAGGATCTTAATAATGTATTTCAGAATTGGATAGATTTTAATATACTTTAAATTTTATTGCATCGAAATTTTGTCGAATTGTTGGAGGATAAGATAGGAATTTTATAGGCTAGTTTTTTTCCTATTCGAATTCGAACACCTAATACACCTGATGGAAGTTAGTGGAAAATATTCAAGGATATGGGAGGATTAAATTGATGATTCGTCGTGGAACACGGTAAAACCTCGATTAATGCCGCTTACTCGTGGCCTCGATCGGGGTCACGGTTATCAAGGGTCTTGTTTATCCCATCGACGATTACATAACACGCAACGACGCTTAATAAATGCAAAATTATAGGAAAATATGAAAAACGTCCAATTATCCCACCAATATCCCGATTATATATTTAAAAAGTTTTCGTACGAATTTAATATTAACTTATTAACATCATGTATACATATACATATTAAAAATTTCTCGTCGACGGCAAAGGATTGATTCACCCACGAAAATGTAAAATAACGGAACGTGAACGTAAAGTTGACGATTTATCGATCGGTTCCGTTAAACGTTACGCTAACCGAGTCGCTCTTGTTTTTCGACAGCGAGGCGAACCATTATTCTTCTGGAAGAGTTGCGGAGATCAACGGGCGAGAGGATTTTGCAACTTCGAAACATTTCTGAGGAAAGAAGGGAGCGACATCTGTTTAACGTAAGGGGTAAGTGAGTTTCCACTTTTATTATTTCTTTCCTCGATAAATGCTTGATTACTATTCCAATTTATTTTTGAATCATTGTGAAATTATCTCTTCGAAATTTCTATCATCCTGATTAACGATTAATCAAGAAAATAATCGATGTTTCGAGCGATCCTCCAACGAAGGAGGGGAAAAAAACACCTTTTCCGAAAAAAGTCAGGTCAAAAAAAAAAAAAGAAGAAAGAAATTTGTTTCCACCCTGTTTCGAGTCCTCCCGATAATTTCGTTTAACGTTCGTCACTCGACAATAGGTCTACCCTAAACAAAATGTATTAGGATCCTTAAAAGCTCTCAGGTAACTCAGTCCCTAGGAGGAGGGAGCACATTGCACGTGCTTAGCGGATTTTCTTTGTTGTGTCGGTGATACGCAAGGTGGCCAAGAAGCTGCAAGGTGTCGAAGGGTCGTCCTATTCCCTTGTTTAGATCGTTAAACGATGACAGGGGACGAGGCATAATTAGCCCCAAGTCCCAACCTTCTTTACACTTCAACTTTTCCCTTCGAGATCATTGGAAATATTTGCAAAATCCTTGCAACAAAAAAAATTGTAATTTGCTCGTGAAACCAATTACTTGAAAACTTTACCGCCTCTCGTGACATGCCCCCTCCCACCCTTAAAATTAAACATCGTATCGGATCGAATCGCCTCTCTATCCAATCGGTTATTTCCCCCTCGTCGTCCCGACGATCAAGGGACCAAGTGTCGCCCCGTCATCCCGAGAATTAATCCCAAAAAACGTTGTCGCCGCGCGTCAAAGCCTCCCTGATTGGTGGCCTCGATGGCGGCCTCCGGTTGATTGGTATCATTGTCGAGGGAGGGAGTTTTTAGGGAGATTTTATGCAGCCCGGCCCGTGTGCACCACCGACTTCCAACTTGAATACCGAATCAGCCCGTCTCTTTCTCTCTCTCTCGAAAGAGAAAAAGAGAGAGAGAGAAGGGAGGGGAAAGAGGGAGCGAGAAAGCGAGAGAGAGGCCCGGACGGGGATCGAAGAAGGTTGGACAAGAATGGGGAGGAAGCGGAGAGAAAGGGAGGCGGAGGGTTGTACCGGTTTCGTGGGCTACGTAGGCCCCACGGTAACAGTGGAACGGAACCCTCTTCTTCCCCATCCCTATCCGGCATTTTAATAATCCGGGCCGGCTCCCTTCGGGGAGAGAGCAGCCCGGACAAGGATGCAGCGCAGCTGGACTCCTTTTTGCCTCGTGCCCGGTGTTAAGGGGGTACCGCCCTCCCACTGCGTGTTCATCTCGCGTACCCTTCTCTCTCTCTCTCTCTCTCTCTTTCTCTGCGTCCCCCGCACTATAGCTAGCCCTCCCCTCCCCTTCTCACGGCGAATTCATTCTCGGGCCCGTTCCCCCGTTGCGAGCAGGGTGTTGATGTTGTTCGTGGAACACCTTTCCGGAGCGTGAAGGAAAAATTTCGGCGTTGTTATCAATTTTTTTTCCGCGGCAATCGGGTACGTTTTCTTTTTCGTTGCACATTGCTGGGTCGAAAATCGGCACTTCTCGTTGCAGGACAAATCTTTCGATTTTGGGGAGGAAAGTACGAGAGCTTTCTCGTGTGAATCGGAGATGATATTATTCGAAATGTTATTCTCGTTATATATTATAATGATAAGACACTTTTCTAAAGAACGATGGCTTTCCTTTTTTCGAAAATCGTTTCCTTTTCGTTGTGTCGCGTAGGGTGTTGATGTTATTCGCGGAATACTTGTTCAGTGTGTAGAAGAAAGTATGGAAAAATTTCGTTGTGTTTCGATTCCTAGGCGTAAAAAGAAAATCGGCCCGTTGTAGGTCGAGTTTCGTGGACGATTGTTTCATTCTGGAGGAATGAAGAAAAATGTAGAAATTTCGGTTATCATTCTTCTTCTCTTTCTTCCCTTCTCGCGAAAATGAAGATATTCGTGGATGAGCAAAGAAAGTATGTCCATTTTTTCATCAATTGCATAGCCTTCCCTTCTCACGAAAATCAAATCTGTTCACGATTCTGTTTTGGATTCTGGTCGTCGATTTTTTCGAGATAAATGTAAAAATTTTGGATTTTATTCACGGGATTAGAAAGAGTCGAAGTTAGACGAAGCGAGACGGAGGAGGTAGAGCGAGGTGATCGTGTCCTTAGCCACACGACGATGTTGCACACTTCGTCTCTTACTTCGTCCAATACGGTGTCCTAATTAGATGTCGTACAAGGACGAGATAGTAGAGATTACGTGATGCTACAATGTCCATATACGGACTCATTGTCTTTCCTCCGCTCTAAAAATCAACTCGACAGAATTATATATATTTTTTTTTTTAGACAATCGTGCAATAGTTAGAATTCCCTTTGTGCGTTCGCATCAATCGAAATTCTATTTTTAGAAATCCTTATGTATCTATATCTTTAAAAGAAACAAAAATATCCAATCTTTTAACCACAGAAAAATTGTCTACAAAAAAAGAACGTAGATCTAATTAATAATTTCAATTAACACCTAAAAAGGAAGAGAGAAAGAGACTCTGAGATGTACCAATATATTACCACAATATATCACAAATATATATTATCAACACGATATCGTATAATCGTAGCTCAAAACGAATGCACGAATTTCCAAGAGTCCCAAAGCCGATGCTTTGAGCGTGAACCTCGCGTGATGCGGGTCCACCTTCTCTCTCTTTCTCTCTCTCTCTCTCTGGACGGCTCTCCTGTATTTCGCCATGTCGAGTGCCTTTGTGCTCAGGTATTCTCCTCTCCCGTCTCTCTGTATCCTTCTCCCTCTCTCTCTCTCTCTCTCTCTCCTCTCTTTCATCGTTTTCCTACCCGTCCTCCACGATGTCGCCTCCACTACCTCTAGCCAGCTTCTTTCTTTACCCGGATTACGGACGAGCCCACGGACGGTTCTTCTCCGCTTCCACGCTTCGTTTTCTCGTTTCTCGAACTCTCTATCTCGTTCAAAGTCACCCTCAAAGTCTGTCGTTCCCAGTGACGAGAGGGGAAGAGGTGGCGGGAGGGGAAGATAGAGGTGGAAAGATGGAGAGAGAGGGAGTGAGGGGGAGGGAGAGAGACAGGCGGATCGAGATTAAGGCAACTTCGCAGACTCGGCGACTGCGCTCATCGCCCCCCTCTCCCTCCTCCTCTTCCTCCCTCCCTCTCTCTTTATTTCTCTCTCTCTCTCTCTCTCTCTCTCTCTTTCTTTCGTCTGTGTGCGAGGAATACTTTGTTGGAATAGCTGAGACCGACTTGTCCCCGATCGGAAGCGGACAGGCTTCCGCGCGCGGTGACCGATCTCCTCCGCTTCCTGTCACCAAAGGCTAACTCCTTTCGGAATCGGGCAACAGCCTTTGCTTGTCCTCGCTTATCCCTTGGGACGATCTTT